CATAAATGGACCTAACCTAACCCCCGCGCGCCCAAGGGGCTCTTTTAGTGGCCATTTTGCGTGTTTCGGGCCAAGAGCCGACCCGGGCTGCAGCGCGTCGAGGAGGTGGACTTGACCCGACCTGAACGCGTGCAATACGGGAGACCAAGACTCGGGAAGCTGGTGACCGAGGTTTGAACTGTCCGTTGGCAAGTGGAGCGGACAGCCGAGTGGCGAGCGCACTTTGGTGTGGTCCGGAGACCGTCGGCCCGGGGATCGAATCCTGTTGGGGGTGAACTTTTTTTCGGTGCCTGCTGAGTAGGTGGTGAAGTCGACTTCCTTACCTTGCTGCAGACCTAGTCGGATTCACACGAACGTTGTGTCAGAAGTGTCAATTTTCTTAAAGAAAAACTTAAATAAATCAAGGGGATTCGATCCCCAGGCCGACGGTGTCCGGACCACACACCAGCGCGCTCGCCACCCAGTGAGAAATGAAATGTCGAAAACACATCGATTGGATATCGATCTACTGGTGTCGATCCAAAATCGATTATCGTGTCATTTCGATGCTGAGGTGGTCACTGGATCGACACTTTACCGACAAAGTTGCAGACGTCGTTTAGACGTCGTTTAGATATCAGACATGGTCAGTATAACTTACTCGGCCGTGTAACATGAGATAGTCTTTGGGAAAGCGCGTGCTGATGCGCGGCATAGCACACAGTTACATCCAAAAATGGTAGGGTGACGTGAAATCACCCTGAAGAGAAGAGAACAGCACGCGGGGTGTAGATCAAGCAGTACTGAAGGTCAGCAGCGCGAGAGAAACAAATTTGAACGTTATAAACTAAAGTAATTCGTAAATTTGTGGAAAAATTAGTCCGGAGTATAGCGTTAGCCTTGTTTGTACGAAAGTACCATCTTTTTACGAGACCGATCATGTCGAAAACTATGACGGGCGAGTAGAACCCATTGGTAAACAGTCTAGAAATACCGCGCCATCTATGAGCAGAGGCTGGATTTATAAGTTGATGTCGAAACGATATCGAAATGATAACGGAACAATCTACCGCTTCCGTTTATTGAGCTTAATACAAATCGCCCATTTCTGTTCGCGGGAGGAGGAGTAACAACAAAAGCATGCCCGCACGTGCCCCGCGGTGGGCCCGCGACGGCCAGGAAGATTTCGCGAGGACCACAACCGTGACCTACCTTGACGCCAGGACTTTGCGAATAATTCTCAACCTCGCGACCTCGCTCGCGACGCACCGCCCCACGACCTCGCTCGCGACGCACCGCCCCACGACCTCGCGAATCACCCCCGTGAACTCTCGTGTCAACCCCTGACCATGCGAGTCACCCTCGCAGGACTGCGAGGACACCGCGGCCCACTGGCGAGCCCGCGAGGGTGCAGAAGGACTACCCCCGCAATACCGCAAGGACCCCGCGGGACAAACCGCGAACTCACGAGGACCCCACGGACGACTCCGCGATTTCGCTAGGAGTGGACTGTCTGACGACATCATAACGAGGTCGTTTCGATATCGCTCAAACATTCATTTCGGACTGGGGTGGTTTCTTTTAAAGAGCGATGAGTTTCCGACGCTGAG